TGCAGCAGTTATTTGGTTGATGTGTGCCTTCGGTGACGTGCTCGGTGTTATGGTCACCCCAAGGTCTTTCTCCCAGAGTGGGGTCTGTGTCTTTGCCCACCTAGCCCATACTCTGTCTGCGGTCTTCTTTGCCCCTCCCCAATCTTCATGACTTTGCTTAGCAGGATTGAATTCGAGAAGCCAGTTTTCTGGACCACATGTCCAGCCTGTCAGGTCTCTTTGCAGCCCTGCCTCTCCTCATCCGATTTAATTCTTCTCATCAACTTCACATCATTGCGAATAGGGACACTTCAGAGTCTATTCCTTCCATCATGTCGTTCGCATATATCAAAAATAGCACTGGTCCTAGAACGACCCCTGTGGGACCCCACTCGTCACAGGCGCCCACTGTGATACCTCTTCACGTACCATGACTCGTTGCTGCCTCCCTGTCAGGTTTTCCCCTGATCCATTGCAGTGCCCTCCTGTTATATGCACCTGACCCTCCAGCTTGTGCACTAATCTCTTGTGGGGAAACTGTGTCAAAGGCCTTCCTGCAGTCTAGGAAGACGCAATCAACCCACCCCTCTCTCTCGTGTCTTACTTCTGTTACCTTGTCAAAAAACTCCAGGAGGTTTGTGACACGGTTTTGCCTTCCATGAACCCATGTGGTTTTCTTTTATAATCTTGTTCTGTTCCAGGGGGTTCCCACCACTCCCCTCCTGATAATTCTTCTCCATGACTTTGCACACAATACATGCAGTGAGTGTGTGTGTGTGTTTTGGGGTGTGGTGTGGGGTGTGTGTGTGTGTACTCACCTATTTGTACTCCCCCTATTTGTGGTTGCAGGGGTCGAGTCACAGCTCCTGGCCCCGCCTCTTCGCTGATTGCTACTAGGTCCTCTCTCTCCCGCCCAGAGCTCTATCATACCTCCCCTTAAAACTATGAAAGGTTCCTGCCTCCACACAATCACTTTTAGGCTTTTCCCCACGGCTGACTACTCTATGACTGAAGAAATACTTCCTAACATCCCTTTGATTCATCTGAGTCTTAAACTTCCAATTGTGACCTCTTGTGTCTGTGTCCCATCTCTGGAACATCCCGTCTTTGTCCACCGTCTATTCCGCGCAGTATTTATATGTCGTTATCATGTCTCCCCTGCCCCTCCTGGCCTCCAGTGTCGTCAGGCCGATTTCCCTAAACCCTTTTTCTTCATAGGACAATCCCGTAGCTCGGGGACTAGTCTTGTTGCAAACCTTTGCACTTTCTTAATTTCTTGACGTGCTTATGGGTGTGGATTCCAAACTGGTGCTGCATACTCCAGTATGGGCCTGACGTAGATGGGTTTTACAGAGTCTTAAACGAATCCTTACTGAGGTATCGGAACGCTATCCGTAGTTTGCCAGGCCCCCGTATGCTTGCAGCAGTTTCTGATTGATGTGCGCCTCAGGAGATAGCTCGGTGTTATACTCACCCCCAGATCTTTTTCCTTTAGTAGGTTTGCAGTCTTTGGCCATCTAAACTATATTGTGTCTGCGGTCTTCTTTGCCTTCCCCAATCTTCATGACTTTGCATTTGGCAGGGTTAAATTCAAGGAGCCAGTTGCTGGACCAGGCTTGTAGCCTGCCCAGATCTCTTTGTAGTCCTGCCTATCCTCGTCCGATTCGATTCTTCTCATTAACTTCACATCGTCTGCAAACAAGGACACTTCTGAGTCTATCCCTTCCGTTATGTCGTTCACGTATACCAAAACAGCACGGGGTCCTAGGACTGACCCCTTGGAAACCCCGCTGTCACAGGCGCCCACTCTGACACCTCGTCGCGTACCATGACTCGTTGTTTCCTCCCTGTCAGGTATTCTCTGATCCATTGCAGGGCCTTTCCTGTTATGTGTGCCTGGTCCTCTAGCTTTTGCAGTAACCTCTTGTGAGGAACTGTGTGAAAGCCTTCTTGCAGGTCCAAAAATACGCAGTGGGATCCACCCCTCTCTCTTTTGTCTTACTTCTGTCCCCTTGTCATAAAACTCTAGTAGGTTTGTGCCCACAGGATTTTCCTTTTCCCTGAACCATGCTGGTTGTCAATTATACACTTGTTTCTTTCCGGGTGCCCCACCACTCTCCTCCTGATGATCTTCTCCATGACCTGGCATACTATACTCGTTAGAGATACAGGTCTGTAGTTTAGTGCCTCATGTCGTCTCCCTTTTTAAAAAATTGGGACTACATTTGCCATTTTCCATCCTCAGGGATTTGCCCAGTTTCAAATGATGTGTTGAAGATCTTTGTTAATGGCTCACACAATATCCTGCTCCCTCTTTAAGGCCCCATGGAGAGATGTTGTCTGGTCCCACCCCCTTTTTGAGGTGTCAAGTTCCCCATAGCAGCTTCTTCACCTCCTCCTTGGTTATATGTACCTCATCCAGCACTTGCTGGTGTGCCCCCCTGTTCTGTTTCTTGGAGTCCTACGGGTTTTCCCACTGAAAATACCTCTTTAAATCTTGTGTTGAGCCCCGACATACCTTCGGTCGTTTCTTGTGAATTCCCCATCACCCTTCCTCAGTCTGATTACCTGGTCCTTGACTTTTGTTTTCCTCCTGATGTGGCTGTACAACAGCTTCGGGTCAGTCTTTATTTTTGATGCTATGTCATTTTCATATTGTCTCTGACCTCCCTTCTTATCTGTGCATATTCGTTTCTGGCTCTTCGGCTGATTTCTCTATTCTCCTGAGTTCTCTGTCTTCTGTACCTTTTCCATTCTCTAGTACACCAGTTTTTGCCCCCTACACCTTTGGGTGAACCAAGGACTCGTTCTGTTCTTCCCATTATTTCTGTTTCCCTTGGGAAAACAAACCTCTCCTCTGCCTCCTTGCATTTTTTTTGCTACATAGTCCATCATTTTTTGAAACTGGTTTTCCTGTCAGTTCCCCTCCCACTGAATGTCTTGAAGGAAGTTCCTCATGCCTGAGTAGTTCCCCCTTTTGTAGTTTGTTTTTCCCAGCCTATTCCTGCTACTCTCTCCACTTGGAGCTAAACTATTAGTCGAAGCACAGAACCACATAAATCACTAGCTCCCAGGGGCCTTTCATACATGATACCCCGATGTCCGAACTACTCATGGTGAATACAAGGTCCAACCTTGCTGGGTTTATCCTCTCCCTCTCTCTGGTAGTGTCTCTAACATGTTGATGCATGAGGTTCTCCAGTACCCACATCCATCATCTTGGCTCTCCATGTTTTGGGACCCCCATGGGGCTCCAGTTTTCCCAGTCAATCTCCTTGTGATTGAAAAACACCCAAAACAGTAACTTTGCTCCCCCATTGTGTGCTCTCCTGGCCACCTCGGCTAGTGTGTTGTCCCTTGCTCTGTTGCTCTCATCGTATTCTTCTCTTGGCCTCCTGCATTCTGTGGTTTGGGGTTTTACATTACTGCAAATTTTCACCTTATGTCCCTCAGACTGGATTGTTCCTACTAAGTAGTCCCTTTGCCCATGCCATCCATCCTTCCATTTTCTCAAAACCCCACTGGTTTTAATGAGCAGTGCAACTCTCCTCCCCCTCTCCTCCCTCTGGGCTTTCCTGAAGTTTGATATCCGGATGGAAAGACTGAATTGTTATTATTCTGGTGAGTTTTTTTTTCTGTGAGTGCATTGTGTGTGTGTGTGTGTGTGTGGGGTTTTGTGTGTGTGTGTGTGTGTGTGTATGTGTGTGGGGTACATGTGTGTGTGTACATGTGTGTGTGTATGTACATGTGGGGTGTGTATATGTGTACTCACCTAGTTGAGGTTGCGGGGTCGGTCCGAGCTCCTGGCCCCGCCTCTTCACTGATCGCTACTAGGTCACTCTCCCTGAGCGTGAGCTTATCATACCTCTGCTTAAAGCTATGTATGGATCCTGCCTCCACTAAAATCGCTTCCCAAACTATTCCATTACTGACTACTCTGTGGGTGAAGAAATACTTCCTAACATCCCTGTGATCATCTGTGTCTTCAGCTTCCAACTGTGTCCCCTTGTTACTGTGTCCAATCTCTGGAACATCCTGTCTTTGTCCACCTTTTTCAATTCCTCTCAGTATTTTGTATGTCGTTATCATGTCCCCCTATCTCTCCTGTCCTCCAGTGTCGTCAGGTTGATTTCCCTTAACCTCTCCTCGTAGGACATACCTGTGTGTGTGTATGTGTGTGTGTATGTGCGTGTGTGTATGTGCGTGCATGTGTGTGTATGTGCGTGTGATGTGCATTGTGTGTGTATGTGCGTGTGTGTGTAGTGATGCGTGTGTGTATGTGCATGTGTGGGGTGCATGTGTGTGTATGTGCATGGTTTGTGTGTTGTAGTGCATTTTGTGTGCATGTGCCGTGTGTATGTTGTGTGTGTATGTGTGTGTGTGTATGGTGTGTGCATGTGTGTTTGTGCATGTGTGTGTGTTTGTTCATGTGTGTGTGTGCATGTGTGTGTGTGCATGTGCATGTGTTATAGCAGAGTAAATGGAAGAGTGGTTTTCATGGCTTGATGTGCTGCAGGAGTGTTACCAATAATATTTCTGAGAGGATTCAGGGAAACTGGTTATCTGGACTTGAGTTCTGGAGGTAAGAGGAAAGTGCCTGCACTCTAAAGAAGGGGTGGGGATGTTGCAGATTAGAGGGTCATTTAAAGGTTATATGTTTGTGAACTTCTGGCAAGACAGCTAGAGAATGAATGATGGTGAATGCTCTTTCCTTTTCTGGGTCATCCTACTTCGGTGGGAGAAAACCAGTTTACTAATAACTGAAAAATATTATCATGTATCATATACAGTGGACCCCCGCATAACGATCACCTCCGAATGCGACCAATTATGTAAGTGTATTTATGTAAGTGCGTTTGTACGTGTATGTTTGGGGGTCTGAAATGGACTAATCTACTTCACAATATTCCTTATGGGAATAAATTCAGTCAGTACTGGCACCTGAACATACTTCTGGAGTGAAAAAATATCGTTAACCGGGGGTCCACTGTATATATATATCTGTATTTTATTAAATTCACCTGGGATCTCTTTTCAGTGCCGCCAACTACACGTTCAACAGCATACTCTAGATCAAGGCCCGTTACCACTTTCTTGCCATATCTGGCAGCATGTAGTGCTGCTTCATTGACAACATTTGCTATATCAGCACCTGTTGAAATATTAAAATGTGAAACACAATATGGTATATAAACAATAACATCATTTTCATCTAAATACTCTACAGTTTTGATACTATGTGCCTATGAGGTTTGCCTCTTCCTTAAAGAATGACCTATTAAAAAAAAATTCACTGCATATTTCAAACACCAAGCATTTAAAGATTTATGAAGGAATGTTTTGAAACCTTTGCTGAGCAAATATACATAATTATCTGACTATTCTCGGTGGGATACGGCCAGTTTGTTGAAAGAAGAAGATTTGCCTATTACATAAATAATTACCAATTCTTGTACTGGGGAAACTTAGAAGTGTACACATAATGAAGATTATCTTAAAATGTAAATGTAATATTCCTCATTAAAAGGATGCTCCTGTTGCCCCTTGATGATATTCATATTGCAATTTGTGCAATTAAATTAAATAATATTTTGGAAAAGCTATATTGTATATGTGGTACTAATAAATAGTATTTTCTGCTAAAGGAAACACAACACCCCTAAAATATGCATATACTGCAAATACAATATCTAGAAAAAACTAAGAACTGTTGGCATAAAGGAAATAAATATTTACTGATTGGAGATGTACAATAAAGTGTGTACAAAGCTCAACAGCTGGTTAATATGTGACACATCAATTATTCTCTCAACGAACACTTACCACTGAATCCTAGAGTGAGAGATGCCATTCGTCGAGAATAATTAGTAGTGGGTTTTTCTAGAACTACGCTTTTGAGGTGATGTTCAAAGATTTCACGACGCTCTTCTAGATTTGGCAGATCCATTAGGATGTGGCGGTCAAACCTTCCTGGCCGCAGTAATGCCTACAACAAAATAAAAATATAAAACACTATCTTATTTTTATTATATTTACATGACCTGTATCACTAACTGCTCTGAAAACATGGAGGTGCAATGCACAATAATTTGATGATAGTAATTGCTACAACACAATAAAAATATAAACCGCTATTCATCTTACTTGTTAGTATACAGTGGACCCCCGGTTAACGATATTTTTTCACTCAATAAGTATGTTCAGGTGCCAGTACTGACCGAATTTATTCCCATAAGGAATATTGTGAAGTAGATTAGTCCATTTCAGACCCCCAAACATACACGTACAAACGCACTTACATAAATACACTTACATAATTGGTCGCATTTGGAGGTAATCGTTATGCGGGGATCCACTGTATTTGCATGACCTGTCTCACTAACTACTCTGAAAACACAGTAGTGTTATGCACAATAAACTGACAACAATAGACAAGGTACAGTCTAAAGATTGTGCATTTGGAGAGTCAACCAGGTATACTCCAGGTAGGTACAGTATAATCAAACTGAGGTGTTTGTGCATGTCTGGCAAGACAGCTGTTGAATATGTGATGCTAAATGTGTGCCAATCTTTGAGTTCCCTTAACTTGGTGGGAGATGGCCAATATAGTAGAGACAACCAAAAAAAAAAAAAAAAAGGTAAGGAGCACTGGGTGTGTGTAGAAAAAAAAATTACCCTGAACTGTTTATTACAAACTAGAAATCTGTGATTCCCTTCTGTTCTTGAATCATCATTATTATTGATACCAACTTCCCACTTCCATGTATTGAGAAACCCACTAGGAGAGTTCAGAAACTTTTATAAAAGGATAAAAGAATGCATTACATATTTTATACAGCCATTCATAATACTTTCCACATAAAGTAATCTCACTATTCAAGTGTCCAGTGGAAGTTTAGTCATTTCAGAAAAAAGTACCAAAGTACTATACAATACTCTAAGTACATCATCACAAAAACAAAATAACTAATCATTCACATCAGCATTACTAAATGTGTATTACTGTACTTGGACCTGTTTTCTGTCACATATTATAGTTGGCTCACATACATGCTGTTAGTGGTGTGTATTCCTAAGAGGCAACTAAGTATTAGTTTCCCCTGGAGTTACCTGGAGTTTACCTGGAGAGAGTCTTTCCTTCAAAATTTAAATAGTTGAGTTAACACATTTAACTTTATACAGAATTGTCCATTTTTGTTAATTATGTCTCAGTGAATTTAAATCTGGCATAAGAGGAGTCTAGACTTTGAATCATGCCAGGCAAGAGCACTTGACACTTGAAAATCTGTCCCTCAAATATGCATTGATCAATTTCTGGTAACTGCATCTGCTTGCTGCCAGACATAAGATGAAAATTATTAATTTACATCTTATAGCTTTTTCCCAAATCCATATAAATGGGATTTTGATCCATCTAATATGCTGTGAAATACACCCGATGCTGGAATTTCCCTTTAATTTTTATTATTATCACTGCATATAATTCCTCTTGTTAATGATTTTAGCATACTCCAGGTTCTCACTTCCCTCCTACTATTCCCAACAGATTACTACCAACAGTACTGCAGAAATATGTAACAAGATTTAACCAGGTTAATATCAGATTTGCAAATTTAGATTCATTAAGATTCTTAGATCTTTTACACTCTCTGTTATGTTGTGGATCTAGAAAAGAATTTGCAGAGTTTGCTTTTCAGTTGCTGGAGTGTAAATACAGTATAACAGATTTTTTTACTTGTTTGCCATTTACATCACACCTTAAAAAGATGTTTACATGTCAAAAAACCATAACAGAAATTCTGAGTTTTATAAGACTAAATAAATTGGAAAAGGCTCACAGTGAAGTAACTGGCCTTTGTGAATTAATTTCAGGAGTGTACATTACTTTGTGTATAATTTTTGTCCTCAATAAAGATTCCCAAATGTTTCACAAATGTCTCATTCTTCAACCTATTGGTTTCCTAAATCATTTACATCATATATTTTTTTTGTTATGCTCAGATTGAATTACTTCAGCTTCATGAAAAAGCTTAACAGCATCATCTGCTTATCCCAGCATCTTTTCATAATATCACTACAAACTGTGCTTGTTTTCTTAATGTCTCATCACTTCCATACTTAGTTTCTCACTGTTTCTTATTCTTATCTATCCTCAAACTCACTCTTATATACTGTACTTTCTCATCAATCTCATGAGTCACAATTTTTGTACTCCTATTTCTTCAACAGCATTGCCATTCACAATACTAAACCTCTAGATCATCCTACCTGAACAGAAGACTGGAGGTGAAGTGACTTCCCTAACTCCCACCCACACCAGGTAAGGTTAATACTACCAGGAGTAGAAACTAAAACTCAGACCCGAAGAAATATGGAGTTTTACAGCAGCCTGCTAGATGGCAGTGCAGGCGGTGACACACTGTAACAGTCCCTTGGAGTTTGAGCTACCATATGCCCAATTTACTGACTTTTCCCTCACAATCTCACATTATCTCCATAACTACTCTAACTTCAGATCTGTCATGTCTATGCAGCACCAGCATTTTGAACTCCTCCATGAATATAAATTAGACACGTGCAACTCTTGGGTAGCTTTACTGTGGAAATGTTTTGCTATACAGTGGCTTCCTCAGTCCAATACAAAAAAGAACGGTGAAGATCAGAAGGAGTTTGAGGTAATCAGTCTGAGGGACTGATTATCTCAAACTCCTTCTGATCTTCACCATTCTTTTTAGTACTGGACTGGTGAAGCCACTGTGTAGCAAAACATTTCCGTAATAAAGATACTCAAGTGTTGTACATGTGTCTTAATTTATCAACTTGTTGGTTCTCTTAACCATTTATCTACATTCCTTCATGAAAGTCGGGAAACATACTCCTTCCTCAAGTCCCGCAGCTGCATTCCTTTGTATTTTGCCTTTATGATCCAGGTCATTCGTTGATCCAGACCAAGACATGGACTGATGAACCTCAGAACCATTAACAGACATATCCACTAATTACTATACTCTTGCATTGACACAAATCTATTATTAGTTTTCAATTGCAATATACCTTAAATTATTTTTGCCTGATTCCCTCTAAATCTAATTTTTTTTACACAAATTAACCCTTAAATGGTCCAAACGTATATATACGTTTTTTCAACATCTGAAAGTATGTAAAAAATGTAGATCTTTTTTGTTTTACATTTGAAAATGTGTAAAAAAACTTTTATCTACATTTTTTTTTTTATATTTGAAAATATGTAAAAAAAGTAGATCCACTTTTGTAGCACAACGAATTTGAACGTCGATTCGTTTGGACCGTTTAAGGGTTAAACTCATCACATCAGATTCGTATACTGAATCTCACTGACACTGTTTGCATACAATGTCCTCCTCTCTCCACTACCAGTATTTTATTTTTAAGTACTACTGTATTTCCATTAGCTTTCAACTACGTTCTTTAGCATCCATCAGAGATGTCTCAACTATCCTACATATCCAACCCATTCTCGTACCATGAGTGAAAATCGTGTAAATTGGAACATATCATGGAATGAGTGAGGTTTGAACCCATGGCAAGTGAGTCCCAAAACAAACAAGAAGAATGACTAAAATGATTTACTGTGTAAGGAACCTCCCGTATGAAGGTAGACTTAAAGCCTTAAATCTCCACTCTCTGGAGAGGCGTAAAAATGAGGGGAGATATCATTGAGGTGTATAAGTGGATGACGGGCATAAACAAGGGAGACATTAATAAAGTACTGAGGGTGTCGAACCAGGTAAGAACCAGGAATAATGGATTTAAGTTGGATAAATTTAGATTTAGAAAGGACATAGGTAAGTACTGGTTTTCTAACAGAGTTGTGGATGCGTGGAACAGTCTTCCCAGTGGGGTGATAGAGGCTAGGACCTTGGGTAGCTTTAAGAAGAGACTGGACAAATATATGAGTGGGAGGGGCTGGGTTTGATTGGTGTCATGGGGTACGGGAGTTATTTCTTGGGTAGCTTTAGGTAGATGTCGTTTTGATAAGGACCTGCCTCGTATGGGCCAGTAGGCCTTCTGCAGTGTTCCTACATTCTTATGTTCTTATGTTCTTAACTAACTACTGGACCAACTGGCTCTAATAAGATTTATCCTGCTAGGGCCCATGATAACCTCCCTATGGCTGCATGGTTAATACACTGGCCTGCTAATTTTAGCAATTAACATGGCCATATTAATTACTCACCTGTTCTGCAATTTGTTTGCAATTGTGTTATTAAGATTTCATAATTTGAACATTTTCCAGATACACTCAACATCCTTGTATCAAGTAGTGGTCCAGTATCCTTTTGAAACCAATAACCAGAAAATATTTTTCAAATTTTTACTGGGCATAATGTACTCTAGGACTGAATTAGGAAGCTGCCCAATTCTTAAACAAGAAAAACGACTTACTTTACCATGTACACAAAGGCTGTACTTAGCCTATACAACTGGACACTCACTTTGTCAAGTATATCAAGACGGTTTGTTGAAGAAAGAAGCACAACACCTTCTTTGGAGCCAATACCATCCATCTCTACCAAAAGCTGATTCAGTGTTTGTTCCGATTCACCTGATCCACCATCAAAACCACTAAGGTTACTAGCACGCTGCCGGCCAATAGCATCCAGCTCATCAATGTACACAATACATGGTGCACGTTTCTTGGCCTCTTTGAACAAGTCCCTGAAAAAATATATTGAAAAATATATATTTTCAAAAAGAACTGACATGATGCAAGACAAAATGTTTCTCACAATTATATCACATAAATGTTAAACCTAAAACCCAATCTAACTTTATTATTTTTTAAATACATTACCTAACAGAATACTCCATATGACTGAATGTACAACAATGCATGCAACCATATGACCTGTCTTTGTAATACTCACTTGTGCTTTATAGTAATCTGTTTACAATAATGTTTTATCACTGATTTCATCATTGCTTAGTTAATCTTAAGTTAATTTTAAGATAGCCCGTAATGCATAGTATAAGTGGCTTTGGCATGCTGCTCTTATCTGTATTATTTTGTACCTCTGTATGTGTGCTCAAATTGTTAATAAATAAATAAATAAATAAATAGTGTCAAAGTCAAATTCAGTTTTTGCAGAATAGAAAAGTTTCAGCTTTTTTAGCCTTTGTATATAGTGGGAAGCTTTAATCTCCCTAGAATATAATTAATGCTGTAAAGAATTTTTATAGTAGCAAGTTCATGCTTAAGATGATTCTTTACTCTCTTCAAAACAGACAAGCAAAACATGTTTTATTGCTACAAGGAATTAACACTAGATGCAGTTTTGTATATGTACCAATTTTATGGCATATAAGACACACCTTTTTCCCCACAAAAAGTCTTGGAAAATCAGCTTGCACCTTATATGCTCAAGGTCAGGGTCAAGGGTAGGATTTGGGTTATGCTTTAGCATAAAGTAAGAGAGTAATTAACTCTTGAATATTACTGATTTACCGTTATGATACTTCTGTTGTGCACTTTATATGCCAGAAAATACAGTATCTGTGAGCTGCCAGCTTAGTGAGCTCCAGTCTAACCACTGGTGTGTCTTTCACTGCTTTTGTCTAGTGAACTTCAAAACATCCCATTTCTTTATCATTCCACAATGTGTTGAGAATAAAATTTTCCATTTTTTTTAAACAAATTTGTTAGACAGTTTTTGGGTGATTTTACATGTTGTATGAGGCTTCAGTTCTGTGGTATGTTTGTTTACATGTTGTATGAGGCTTCAGTTCTGTGGTATGTTTGTTTACATGTTGTATGAGGCTTCAGTTCTGTGGTATGTTCTTTCACATGTTGTATGAGGCTTCAGTTCTGTGGTATGTTCTTTTACATGTTGTATGAGGCTTCAGTTCTGTGGTATGTTTGTTTACATGTTGTATGAGGCTTCAGTTCTGTGGTATGTTCTTTCACATGTTGTATGAGGCTTCAGTTCTGTGGTATGTTCTTTTACATGTTGTATGAGGCTTCAGTTCTGTGGTATGTTTGTTTACATGTTGTATGAGGCTTCAGTTCTGTGGTATGTTCTTTCACATGTTGTATGAGGCTTCAGTTCTGTGGTATGTTCTTTCACATGTTGTATGAGGCTTCAGTTCTGTGGTATGTTCTTGTACATGTTGTATGAGGCTTCAGTTCTGTGGTATGTTTGTTTACATGTTGTATGATGCTTCAGTTCTGTGGTATGTTTGTTTACATGTTGTATGAGGCTTCAGTTCTGTGGTATGTTCTTTCACATGTTGTATGAGGCTTCAGTTCTGTGGTATGTTCTTTTACATGTTGTATGAGGCTTCAGTTCTGTGGTATGTTTGTTTACATGTTGTATGAGGCTTCAGTTCTGTGGTATGTTTGTTTACATGTTGTATGAGGCTACAGTTCTGTGGTATGTTCTTTTACATGTTGTATGAGGCTTTAGTTCTGTAGTATGTTTGTTTACATGTTGTATGAGGCTTTAGTTCTGTAGTATGTTTGTTTACATGTTGTATGAGGCTTTAGTTCTGTAGTATGTTTGTTTACATGTTGTATGAGGCTTCAGTTCTGTGGTAAGTGTTAGTGTTATGTACTGCTCTGGTTAGTTTACTGACTACGTCGCTGTGTAGTGTTCTGCAGATAATTCCCAAGGAGCCAGCCCAATAATCTTTCATCAAATAATTCACAGTTAAGAATTCAATTGTATATTTCTAGGCTGTTAACAGAGGTTTGACAAACTACAGTGCATTGGGTTAGATAGAAATTTTGGTCTGCTGTTCATTTGCTGACTGAATTGGAGGTGAAGTAAAGATAAGATAAAGGTATATCAAAGGAGGCATTTTATGTGCTGTATCTCGGATGCCTCCATGTCAACTTAGGCTTTAATGGTTATATCAATGTACAAAAGAACAACATAGAGGAATGGCTAGTGTGAAAATGTTTGAGAAATGAGAAATGGGAGGCAATAAGGTTAATCTGAGGAAGGGAAGGGTAGCTGTGCTTCTATAACCCTCTAACTGTCCAAACATAGATCTACGTTCACTCACAAAGCGCTCCGAACGTAGATCTACGTTTTTTTACATTCTTTCTTAGGGAGAAAATCAAGCGTGCAAATGTAGATCTACGTTTGGACAGTTTAAGGGTTAAATCAAGAGCTTTTTACCAGCATCAAGGTACTTGACCTTAAAGGATACAGGTACCAGAGGTCAAGCAGTGCTCCCTTTAAATCCTAGCTGTATTCCCAGTCTTGTACAACATGATTTTTAAGATGTACAGGAGGGTCCCACTTACAGCAGGTTAGGTCACGGGCTACTGCTGTAAAGTGAATCATAATCCTTTTTTTACTTTCCAGTTCATATAAAAGCTTTATAACATGTTTACACTACCATATATAAAGTGAGCACTATAGCTAGGCCTATAAATGCTTATACAGTACACACATTACTTTTTTCTTTTTAACACATCAGCCATTTCCTACTGAGGCAGGGTGAGCCAAAAAGAAAGAAAAAACTTTCATCATTCAACACTTTCACCATTATTCTTACATAATCACTGTCTTCACAGAGGCACTCAGATACAACAGTTTAGATGTCACTCCAAACTGCCAATATCTCAAACCTCTCCTTTGAAGTGCAGGCATTGTACTTCCTGCCTCCAGGACTCAAGTTTGGCTAGCCGGTTTCCCTGAATCCCTTCATAAAATATTACCCTGCTCACACTCAAGCAGCGCGTTAGGTCCCAAAAATCATTCAATTCATTCACTCCTATCTAACACACTTGCGCAGGCTTGCTGGAAGTCCAAGCCCCTAGCACACAAAACCTCCTTTACCCCCTCCCTCCAACCTTTTCTAGGATGACCCTTACCCTGCCTTCCTTCCCCTACAGATTTATATGCTCTCTAAGTCATTCTACTTTGCTCCATCCTCTCTAAATGACCAAACTACTTCAACAACCTCTCTTCAGCCCTCTGACTAATATCTTTAGTAACTCCACACCTCCTAATTTCGACACTTGGAAAGGGCTAGTAGCCCTTTTCCCACACAGCTTAGTAAAAAAAGAAGAAAACACATTACATATACTCACCTTAAAATATTTTCATCCTAAGCTTATAGTGAGTGGTGAATATAATTATTTTAAAATAAAGTTGGTAGAATTACCGACAATATGTAAAGTAAAAGGACACAAGTGCAACTAATGTGACATTTATTGTGGCAACGTTTCGCTCTCCAGGAGCTTTATCAAGCCTTGATAAAGCTCCTGGAGAGCGAAACGTTGCCACAATAAATGTCACATTAGTTGCACTTGTGTCCTTTTACTTTACATAATTATTTTAGGAAGTCTGAATAAATGAAGAATGGATATATGTAACTGGAAACTGCTGTATTAGCAAAACTTTGTAAAGCAAAGTGCTATAAAGTGGTGTCTGCCTGTACCTATAATAGTAAAACTCCAGTCACTCACAGGTGTCCTATCCAATCTACCATCAACACACCTATGCATATACCACTAATTAGTACAGACAGGCCCCACTTTACAGCACTTTGCTTTACAGCATTTCGCTGATACAGTGGTTTTCAATTACTATACCCAATTTTCATTTCTTCAGACTTTTTACAATAAATACAGTGGACCCCCGGTTAACGATATTTTTTCACTCCAGAAGTATGTTCAGGTGCCAGTACTGACCGAATTTGTTCCCATAAGGAATATTGTGAAGTAGATTAGTCCATTTCAGACCCCCAAACATACACGTACAAACGCACTTAAATAAATACACTTACATAATTGGTCGCATTCGGAGGTGATCGTTATGCGGGGGTCCACTGTATATTCATTACTCACTATAAGCAAAAGACAAAAATATTTTAAGTAATGTGTGTACTATATATATGCATTTTTTAGACCTAGCTATATTACTCACTTAATATATAATAGTGTAAACATGTTATCAGACTTCCATATGCATTTGAAAGTGAAAAAGGGTCATTCCATGTCAAGAGGACCAATTTTGAAAATCATCCCCACCTGACCATTTCCAATTTCGATAAAATTTTACATGATGGTTGGCATGTATATCAAACTTTGGGAAAATTTTGGTTCATGATATGCAATAGTAGTAATGGTACGGCCTCAAAGTGGAGGCAGGTGAAAATTTCAGCGACCTGTGGCACACAATCAACAATGTTCAGGTTATTGCTGTGTCAGATCTTGAAGAGTAAAAGTTGCGTAAGTGGACATGCCTATATAACTTTTGGAGTGGATTTAAAAAATCACAGTCCTAAAACTTACATGTTTTTACTCTTTTTTACAGTATGAAGCCAAAGTAGGCAAAAAAGAAGTCTGTTGCATAAAATTGAATCTTGAATTCAGCTGCATATATCTCTAAAGGAAAACATTATTATAGTATGACATTATTGTAGCCAGCTACCCAAGTGGATATTGTCACAATCCTAAAATATCAGACTCCAAACATTTTTAGTTCCTGTGCTAATAGTATCTAAAAATGCCTTCACAGACCTCACAATTTGGGTGCAATTCACACTATTTTAACCCTTTCAGGGTTTCGGACGTACTAGTATGGCTTACGCACCAGGGTTTTTGATGTACTAGTACACCTAAATTCTAGTGCCCTCAAATCTAGTGAGAGAAAGCTGGTAGGCCTACATATGAAAGAATGGGTCTAGTGGTCAGTGTGCACAGTATAAAAAAAAATCCTGCAGCACATAGTGCGTAATGAGAAAAAAAAACTTTGATCGTGTTTTTGGATTAAAACAGCGGCTTTGCACTGTATTTTTGTATGGTATTTATTGTCGTATTCTAGTTTCCCTGGTCTCATTTTATAGAATGGAAGAAATATTACAGAAATTAAGATGGTTTTGACTAGTTTTACAATGAAAAGTACCTTGAACTTGAGCTCAAAGTAGCAGAAATGTTCGATTTTTACCAAAGTTCAAAAGTAAACAAATCATGTTAAAGGTCCAATACACATCAACTGGCGAGTCTAATATTCTTTCACAAGTGCGCCAATATTATGTATACCATTTCTACACTAATGCAGTAGTCTGCATAACAGTAAATCTTCTACTTTTTGTGAGAATAAAAAATTCAGAGTGGAAAGCAAAAGAATGTAAGAGGGGCATGGGGACGTGACTAATGAATAAAGGAAATGTTATTTTAGTGCCAGGAATGTCTTTCTTGTTTATTCTGGACCCTATTTGGAAATTGGCATCTTTTGAAATTTGTGTGAAATTGGAAAAATTGCTAAATTCTGACCATTGTATTGGATAGTTGAAATCGGTAAATGGGTGGTTTCTTGTACTCATTCGATAGAAAAAATGGAGTTCTAGCAAAATAGTTATGATTTTTGTTGACTAGTACACCGGAATTGGCCGAAAATAGGGCTCAAAGTGGGCAAAATCGCCGATGCGTAAACATCATTGAGACTGCTAACTTCGCAAGAGCATAATTCCGTAAGTTTCCAATCAAATTTCATACTTTTGGTGTCATTATGATCGGGAAAAGATTCTCTATCTTTTCATAAGAAAAAATAATTTTTTTTTGAAATTTGGGCGACCCTGAGAACAAGTCTGGGAGTGGGTCTGGGGACCCTGAAAGGGTTAAGCAAATTCCATTGTTCCAATCAACCAAATTCTTAGCTATTTGTATATTATGTGTCCCATTCTATCAAATAAGCACAAGAAATCGCCCATTTAGCTATTAGAACTGCCCTATAAAGTGCACAGAAGTTGGTAATTTGGCCAATTTTACACAAAAAATAGAAAATCCAGTTTTAAAAAGAGTTCTGAATAAACAATGTAGACATTACTGGCACTAAAACATTTTCTGTTCATTAATCATGTCACCAGGCCTCTCCTATATTAAACTTGCCATGCATTTCGAATCAAAATCACAAAAAATCAAAGATTTACTCTATTTGTTGGATAATATAACCAGGAATGATTTGTCATGGTTAACAGCACCCCAATATTTGAATCAAACCTATTAAAAAACTATCAAAACACTATGAGTATGGTGAGGCCTTACCTGTCATCAAGAAAATTGGCAAATATCCATTTCTGCTAATTTGAGCCTAGTTTCAAGATGCTTCCAGTCCTGAGACCAACCAAAAATCATCTCTATTTCAATAGTATATCTTTTATTTTATCAAATGATAAAAAAAAACAGCCAATAAAACCATAAAAACCATCCTAAAAAACACCTCAAAATTATTATATCAAACCAAACTTAAGGTCAGAGTTTTGCTTTTCCCATCATGCACTGTATCAGGCAGGATTTTTCTTTTAAACTGTGCATACTCACTGTACAGACTCCTTCTCTCATGTCTAGGCCAAAATTTACTGCTCACAGCTTATATGAGGGAGTTATGCTCAAAATATAGATCTACGTGAGGGACCCTGGCATTAGTAACATAGATCTACTTGATGGCCAGTCAAAGGTTTAATTAAAAGAAAATGCATAATATAAGTTTTCTTCAGATTTTTAACCCAAAGGTTATCCAGCCAGGACAGCCCAAGAAAGTCAGTGCATTATCGAGGATTGTCTGTCTTATTTCCATTGGGGTCCTTGAATCTTGTCCCCCTAGGATGCCACCCACACCAGTCAACTAACACCCAGGTACCTACTTACTGTTAGGTGAACACGGACAGGTGTAAGGAAACATGTCCAATGTTTCCACCCATGCCAGGTACTGAACCACGGACACCCAGTGTGCGAGGCAAGACAGCTGCCAACTGCACTCAATACAGCATGCAATTATGCTCTATTTAGCTAATTTATGCACATTAAATAAAAGTAAATAAGAAGAGAAGAGGGGGCAATGTGGCAGATGTTGCAGGTGTATGGTGTAGGAGGTAGGTTACTGAAAGCAGTGAAGAGTTTTTACGAGGATAGTGAGGCTCAAGTTAGAGTATGTAGGAAAGAGGGAGATTATTTCCCAGTAAAAGTAGGCCTTAGACAAGGATGTGTGATGTCACCGTGGTTGTTTAATATATTTATAGATGGGGTTGTAAGAGAAGTAAATGTGAGGGTCTTGGCAAGAGGCGTAGAGTTAAAAGATAAAGAATCACACATAAAGTGGGAGTTGTCACAGTTGCTCTTTGCTGATGACACTGTGCTCTTGGGAGATTCTGAAGAGAAGTTGCAGAGGTTGGTGGATGAATTTGGTAGGGTATGCAAAAAGATTAGGTGATGAAAGATTGGATATCAGATTGGAGGGAGAGAGTATGGAGGAGGTGAATGTATTCAGATATTTGGGAGTGGATGTGTCAGCGGATGGGTCTATGAAAGATGAGGTGAATCATAGAATTGATGAGGGGAAAAGGGTGAGCAGTGCACTTAGGAGTCTGTGGAGACAAAGAACTTTGTCCTTGGAGGCAAAGAGGGAAATGTATGAGAGTATAGTTTTACCAACGCTCTTATATGGGTGTGAAGCATGGGTGATGAATGTTGCAGCGAGGAGAAGGCTGGAGGCAGTGGAGATGTCATGTCTGAGGGCAATGTGTGGTGTGAATATAATGCAGAGAATTCTTAGTTTGGAAGTTAGGAGGAGGTGCGGGATTACCAAAACTGTTGTCCAGAGGGCTGAGGAAGGGTTGTTGAGGTGGTTCGGACATGTAGAGAGAATGGAGCGAAAGAGAATGACTTCAAGAGTGTATTAGTCTGTAGTGGAAGGAAGGCAGGGTAGGGGTCAGCCTAGGAAAGGTTGGAGGGAGGGGGTAAAGGTGGTTTTGTGTGCGAGGGGCTTGGACTTCCAGCGGGCGTGCGTGAGCGTGTTTGATAGGAGTGAATGGAGACAAATGGTTTTTAATACTTGACGTGCTGTTGGAGCGTGAGCAAAGTAACATTTATGAAGGGATTCAGGGAAACCAGCAGGCTGGACTTGAGTCCTGGAGATGGGAAGTACAGTGCCAGCACTCTGAAGGAGGGGTGTTAATGTTGCAGTTTAAAAACTGTAGTGTAAAGCACCCTTCTGGCAAGACAGTGATGGAGTGAATGATGGTGAAAGTTTTTCTTTTTCGGGCCACCCTGCCTTGGTGGGAATCGGCCAGTTACTTGCTGTTTGGAGTCTTTTCTGAACTATTATTACCTGACTCTTGCTGCACCGAGACCACCAATCATCTCAGTGAACTCGGAACCATTCATGGCCAAGAAAGGAACCTGACCCTCTGTAGCGACAGCCTTGGCCAACAGTGTTTTACCACAGCCAGGAGGACCCAGCAACAATGCACCTTTAGGAACCTGTTATAAAAAACCAAAGTAACATTAGAGGTGGAATAAGAAAGTAATTACTAGAAAGTAGAATTAATACTCTAAGTAGTAGGTTGGTAGACAGCAACTGCCCAGGGAGGTACCGTCCTGTGGTAGTAGGTTGGTAGACAGCAACCACCCAGGGAGGTACTGCCATCCTGTGGTAGTAGGTTGGTAGACAGCAACCACCCAGGGAGTTTTTTTTTTTTTTTTTTTTTTTACACAGGGTTTGACAAGGTTAGGTTAAGGATTTCTAGCTTTATTGACAAGCTATTTACAGGTTAAGAATTCCTAACTTTATTGACAAGCTAAGAGCTGTTACCTACATCAGCTCTTTGAAAGCATTTTTATTGTTATGAAACATACAAGTAGGGAACAGGATGAAGTTGGAGCCATCTGTGGGCCAGCATTTTCATCTCATCAGCTGACTTTATCTCATTGACATCATAATGCTGTACGAATGTGTTCCATACTCGAGTCATCCTGGGGATAAATGATCTCAGATGAAGTGATGTTCTGGAGAAGGGTACAGCCAGAATGAAGTTGCTGCTTTCTGCCCGTCTTGTGGTATAGAAGCTTGCTTCACAGTGTCCTCGAAGTGGATCCAAGTGTGGTACTTTGACAATACTGGCCTTGTACATAACAGTAAGGCCACCCACATCCCTCCTGTGTTAAAGGCTCTGCTGAAATGACAGATCTATCCAGGATTGGTCCAGGCAAGAGATGAGACGTCTTGCTCTGTTCTCTACTCTGTCAAGAAGTTGCAGATGAGAAGGGAGGCAGGCGAACCAAGAAAGTGGAGCATACTTAAGGTGTGAGCATACTTGTGCCTCGTACAAAATCTTGTAACCCCTGCTGTCAAGCAGATGCGAGATACGGCGAAGTGCTGTAAGCTTCCTGGCTGCCTTGTTTGCAAGATTTACAACGGTTTACAAAGTAGGAAATCGATTCTCTGTTCTCTAAGACGAGTGTACTTCAGTGGTTAGTGAGGTTTAAGGTACCACTGATTCCCCTGCTAATCAAGGTAAGAATATTTTAATAGTAGGCGATTCTCAGGTAAGATATATGGACCGTGCATTTTGTAACAGAGACAGAAAGGTCAGATAGAGAGTGTGCTTTCCTTGAGCTGGTGTTGGTGACATAGTCAGCAGGTTGGATAATATTATGGCAGGTAATGGGAACAAGCCTATTATCTGTCTTAGTGCTGGGGGTAATGACAGTGGGTAGGGCAGGAGAGAGGAGCTGCTGGATAAGTACAGGTTAGCCATAGAAGTAATTAAGTCTAAGGGAGGGATCCCAGTCATATGTAGCATCTTGCCTAGAAAGGGAGTGGGCAATGAATGGATGTCTAGGGCAATTGGTATAAATTGCTGGCTAGACAGGTACTGCAAGGAACTTGCAATCCCATTCATTGATAACTGAGACCTATTCTTTGGCAAACGTGATATGTATGCAAGGGATGGGGCTCATCTCTCTGGGGATGGAGTGGTTGCATTAGCCAATTCAACTGAGAGGGTAATTGATGACTTGTCTAGGAATTTAAACTGATAGATTATAGAGGTATGGGTGTTTGTGGGAAACAATCAGGCGGAAGCATTAAGGTTAAAAGCAGCAGTTATTACCAGGATACCTCAGGGATATGTTTAAAAGACAATATTCAAAATAAAGTTGCTAGTAATGGCAAATCAATTGATCAACAAACAAAGAGAGATAGTAGAGGGCAACAAGTGACTAGCTCCCTTAAGGTTTACTAGACAAATAGTAGGAGTCTAAGAAATAGGATAGATGAACTAAGATTACTTACAAGTGTAGGTAATATAGATATTATTGGTATAACAGAGACCTGGTTCAACCTGAAAGATAGAGAAATGCCTTCTGAATGCAACATACAAGGTTATAAACTATTCCACACTGATAGGGTCAACAGGAAGGGTGGTGGTGTGGCGATGTATGTCAGAGAAAATTTAAATTGCTCTCTTAGACATGGTATAAGATTAGAAACATCGAACACAGAATCTGCTTGGCTACAGTTTCTCGAGGGACGTGACAAATTAATTTTGGGTGTGATTTATAGGCCCCCAAACCTTGATAGGGAGGGCAGTAAGCTGTTATGGGACGAAATTCATAAGGCATCTAGATATGAAAATGTTGTGATAATGGGAGATTTTAACTTTAGACAAATTGATTGGAACAATATGACAGGAAATCTTGAGTCTAATGACTTTCTTGATACGGTTCAAGATTGCTTTTTAGAACAGATTATGACAGAACCAACTAGAGGAAACAATCTGCTTAATTTGGTTCTTGCCAACAAAGATTCACTAATTAATAATCTTGGGGTTAATGATGAGCTTGGGGAAAGTGATCACAAATCACTTAGTTCCAATATATCATGGAATTACCCAGATAACTGCAATCAAATCTCTGTCCCAGATTTTCGCTTGGCCGACTTCATGGGACTGAAAAATTACCTGGGTGGGCTAAATTGGGATGTCCTGACTATGGGTCAGGTAGGTGATCTTGGTTGCCAATATGATGTTTTTCAGAGCATAGTTCTAGCTGCCCAGACAACTTTTGTTAAGAGTGGGGAAATTAGATCAAACAAAAATGATCCCAAATGGATGAACAATAGATTAAAACATCTCATTGGTCAAAAGAGAGGCATATATAGGCGTATCAAAAGAGGGAATGGGCAGTTAAGAAATCAATATATTCAATTAAAGAGAGAAATAAAGAAAGGAATAAGAAAAGCAAAAAGGGATTATGAGGCTAAGGTCGCAAGGGATTCAAAGACTAACCCAAAAGGGTTCTTTCAGGTATACAGAAGTAAGATTAGGGACAAGATTGGCTCACTTAAGAGTAACTCTGGTCAGATCACTGACAGTGATAAGGATATGTGTGAAATTCTCAATACCTACTTCCTCTCAGTTTTCACCCAGGAAAATACTAGCAATATTCCTGAAATAATAGATTATGTAGAACAGGATGATAATAAACTATATATGACTGTGGTAACTAGTGACATGGTCCTCAGACAAATAGAGAAATTAAAGCCTAACAAATCCCCAGACCCTGATGAACTGTTTGTAAGGGTGTTAAAGGAATGTAAAGAGGAACTTAGCATACCTTTGGCTAATCTTTTTAACATATCACTACAAACTGGCATAGTGCCTGATAAGTGGAAAATGGCAAATGTAATACCTATTTACAAGGCAGGTGACAGGTCCTTGGCTTCGAACTGTAGACCAATAAGCCTTACCTCCATAGTGGGAAAATTTATGGAATCAATAATTGCCGAAGCAATTCGTAGCCATCTTGACAGGCACAGATTAATTAATGAATCTCAACACGGTTTTACAAAGGAGCATTCCTGTCTTACGAATTTACTAACTTTTTTCACTAACAGTGCATTAGTGTTCGCAATAAAGCTAACAGAATTCTTGGCTTCATATCTAGAAGTACATATAAATAATAGAAGTCCTCAGGTTGTTCTTCAACTCTATATATCCTTGGTTAGGCCTCATTTAGACTATGCTGCACAGTTTTGGTCACCGTATTGCAGAATGAATATAAATGCTCTGGAAAACGTACAGAGGAGGATGACAAAGATGATCCCATGTATCAGAAATTTTCCCTATGAGGATAGACTGAGGGCCCTGAATCTGCACACTCTCGAAAGGAGTAGAATTAGGGGGGATATGATCGAGGTGTATAAATGGAAAACAGGAATAAATAAAGGGGATATAAATAGTGTGCTGAAAATTTCCAGCCAAGACAGGACTCGCAGCAATGGCTTCAAGTTGGAAAAATTCAGATTCAGGAAGGATATAGGAAAGCACTGGTTTGGTAATAGAGTTGTGGATGAGTGGAACAAACTTCCGAGTACAGTTATTCAGGTTAAAACGTTGTGTAGTTTTAAAAATAGGTTAGATAAATACATGAGTGGGCGTGGGTGGGTGTGAGTTGGACCTGACTAGCTTGTGCTGCTGGGTCTGGTGCAGTGCTCCATCCTTGAGTGGAGGTGACCAGACTGGGTGGGTCATTGGGCTAATCCGGGAGGAAGTCATTGGTCTAATCCGGGAGGGGGGGGGACATGGACCTGCTCTGCATGGGTCAGTAGGCTTGTTGCAGTGTTCCTTCTTTCTTATGTTCTTTTTATTATTATTATTATCACACTGGCCGATTCCCACCAAGGCAGGGTGGCCCGAAAAAGAAAAACTTTCACCATCATTCACTCCATCACTGTCTTGCCAGAAGGGTGCTTTACACTACAGTTTTTAAACTGCAACATTAACACCCCTCCTTCAGAGTGCTGGCACTGTACTTCCCATCTCCAGGACTCAAGTCCGGCCTGCCGGTTTCCCTGAACCCCTTCATAAATGTTACTTTGCTCACACTCCAACAGCACGTCAAGTATTAAAAACCATTTGTCTCCATTCACTCCTATCAAACACGCTCACGCATACCTGCTGGAAGTCCAAGCCCCTCGCATACAAAACCTCCTTTACCCCCTCCCTCCAACCTTTCCTAGGCCGACCCCTACCCCGCCTTCCTTCCACTAGACTGATACACTCTTGAAGTCATTCTGTTTCGCTCCATTCTCTCTACATGTCTGAACCACCTCAACAACCCTTCCTCAGCCCTCTGGACAAAAGTTTTGGTAATCCCGCACCTCCTCCTAACTTCGAAACTACGAATTCTCTGCATTATATTCACACCACACATTGCCCTCAGACATGACATCTCCACTGCCTCCAGCCTTCTCCTCGCTGCAACATTCATCACCCATGGGAGGAGAAGGCTGGTAGGTAACTCTTACACAATTCTACTCACTCATTACACACTGTAGTGCATTTGTAATTGGTATTATTCATTGCTATTATTTCATAGGAGCAAGGGGCTAGTACCCTCCTTTTTCCTGCCGCACCCAGGTCCATCTCTGCTCACTTCTAAAGTTTAATTATCCTTTCCCAATGACAGCAATGACACTC